TTTGTAGATTGTATATTGTGAATATACATCAGTGCATGCTCGGGCAGCTCTCCCACCCATCCCGCTTCTTCATCAGGTACTTCATCTGTTGCATAACAACCACCGCACGGGGTTCGTCATCAACTGTATAAACACGCCGCCTTGTGAATCCTTCACTGACATATATTTGGGTATACACTGACGCATAGACACTGAGGCGGTATGATACAGGAGAAAACAAACGAAGCCCGGCGAAGAAAACGCAGGGGAAGGAAGCAGACGGAAAGCTCAATGACGGAAACACTAAGAACAGTGAAGAGCAGGTGTTATGGGTAAACATACATGGAGAAACAAATATTCTCAGGAGGCATGCAACTGCTTCTGCTGATGCTGTGTGCCGTCTCTGCTAGCACTCCTAACTCCTACTGAAACCCTTAACCCGAAAGCTGCACTATAGGGGGCAGCAAGCTGGTGGCTAGCTGTGCTTCCCGCAGTTTACTGCTGTTCTTCAATTGAATTTGTATGTGTATTATGATTGGCTAGCTGGTCTCCGTAACAAATGTATCTGCTGCTGCAGCTGCAGCAGTTTTATGTGATCTATTTGCTGCTGCGGCAGCAGCTGCTGCAGCAGCAACTGCTGCTGCCTGCAGCACTCGGAGGTTGGCTGGGTAACGGAAAAAAACNCAGCAGCTGCTGCAGCAGCAACTGCTGCTGCCTGCAGCACTCGGAGGTTGGCTGGGTAACGGAAAAAAACACAAACCTAAACCGATAGTTGTTGATTGTCTTTCCTGCTCCCCAAAGGGGAAGAAGAAACAAAACAGAGGAGCTGTGTCAACTCCACCACAACCAGAGAGCGCAGCCCTGCTGTTGTGCTGCTGCTGCTGCTGCTGCTGATGCTGCTGCACCTAGTGCTCATGCATACCACAGCAGCAGCCTGCAGCTTTGTAGTTGTGCTGTAGCGAGAGGAACCCCCCACAGTTCCTCCTCCTATGGGGGGCCCCTTTCAAATCCAGTCAAGCCCTTTGGCTTCACCATGAAGGGGGGCCTCTGACTGTAGACCCGCGAACCCCAACACCAGGCAGCAGCAGCTGCTGCAGCAGCTGCTGCAGCGGTAACTGTCACTGCAGCTCCTGCTCCTGCTGCTGCTGCTGCTGCTGTTGAGCTACGTCACAACCCTTACTAGTTATCGTCCCTATCAGCTCCGTCTCCAGCAGGAACAGCAGCAACATCTGCTGCTACCGCAGCTTCTGGTGCTCCTGCTGCTGCTGCTGCTGCTTCTTCTGCTGTACCTACGTCTTCCGCTGCTGCAGCTTCTTCTGCTGCTGTATAGTGCGTGTCTTCTGCTGCTGCTGCTGACGCGCCCTCTGTAGACCCTCCCTCAATAAGACCATAAGCCTCCGGCTTTTCAACATACGCTGCGAGCAACAGCAGCAGCAACAGCAGCAGCAGCAGCAAACGGGGCAGTAGCAAAGGTAGCAGCAGCAAGTGGATCAGCAGCACTAGGGAGGAAGCGGCAGCAGCAGCAGGCTGAGTATACACAGCAGCAACTGCAGCAACAAGAAGAAAATACTGCAGCAACATCACTTACATGTTGCGGACGCAAGCGCCTCTGCAGCCGTCATGTCTTGCTGCAGATACTGATCGTAAAAGTACTGCAGCAGCAAAAACAACAACAGCAGCAGCAGCAGCAGCAGCAGTGGTAACAACCACACTAACAAACACACAACGACGATCACTATACAACCACAAACATACACCCCCAGCACCTACACACCCGAGTCGAATACAATACGATCTATATTTCATATATACAGTACGGCATATGCCCGTATATACCCTATATATATATATATATATATATATATATATATATATATATATATATATATATAGTGT